GTTTATCTTGGATCAAATCCAATTGCTTGTAGCTCAAAAAGACAACCTACCTTAGCCATCTCCTCCACATAAGCTGAGTTCAAGATTGTCGCCTGCACTATAACTGAAATCCAATGGATAATATCCCTATTATCTGAGCTTGGTTATAAATCTATCACTATACCAACCATTTTTTGCGACAACCTTAGTGCTACAAACTACTCTGCTAACCTTGTTTTTCATTCACGTATGAAGCATTTAGCACTTGATTTCCCTTTTATTAGAGAAAAGGTCCAAGACGGTTCAATTCGTGTCACCCATATCAATGGTGATGATCAACTAGCTTATGCATTAACAAAACCGCTTCTTAATCATAGATTTCACACTCTTATTTCCAAGATTGGTCTTCTTTCCCGGTCATCCATCTTGCGGGAGCCTATTAACACGTAACCTGGACCCGATTTCTTTTACTTATGCATATTATTCCCATGCCTTTATTTAGTTTGAATATTTAGATAAAGATAGAAATAGACTTCTACTTTCGTTGTAACAGATCCAATATATTCGGATCTCTCTATGTATGTGTACTCGTTCTCAATTCAATGTGAATATACAAGTTCTACTGATTACATTTATAGGTTCAACCTCCAATAATTAATTTGGGTATTTATGAACCCTAACATGTGGAATAGTGTTTCGAGTCTCTAGATCTTTAATTTGGATCGTTGAATGTTTTAAATTGATAATCACTTCTTATCTTACAAATCATGGTTTGGTGATGATCTCTATGATTCTTTGTAATTTGTTTGGATTTAAGTGAATTACTTTCAACTATAGAGAAGTTATAAATACATTTATTTACGCAGGTTTAGGTTTGTGGATCTCATTTGGGTGAATTGAATCATAATTTATACGAATCTTCTATTTGAACATCGTAATCTGAAATTGAGTGCTTTGTTGATGTTTTGAAGCATTTTTGAACTTAGGTTTTCTTCAATCTAAGTGAATGTATAGAAATGAATCACTTATTGAAGTCACACATTAAGTTATGGTGCTATAATATCAAGCTCTAACTAAACCATGTACAACTAAGTAGAAAAAACATGTTAAGACGAAATGAAAAATAAAATTATAAAAATAAAATTGTAAAAAAAACATACAGAAAAAATAAAAAATGTAAAACATAAAAACAAATTATGGAAAAAAGAACATATAAAATGAATTGTGCATCATTTCAAAAGTTTTAGTAAATAACTATATCAAAAAATAAAAAATTCAATGGCATAGATAACTACAAAAAAATAAATAAACAATTAAATAAATAGTGATCACTTTGACATAAATTAACACTAGGCTTTTAATGATCTACTGAAATACTTTGACATCTAACCAAACGGTGGAAAGAAACAAAAATTATTTGAAAATTTGTGGTCATTTCTTGAGTTGTAAAACATTGTAATTTACCAAATTTACTTTCGAAGTTTTCTTATTAAACGCGGTGAATATATCCATTTTTTTTCTTTTGGAGAAGAGGCAAGCCTCATGATCTATTTGAGGCAAGCCCCATGGAATACATATATCTATTGCTTCACACATTATCTCATTGTACCTTGTATTTAAAGTTTCATTAGGTATTCTAGTATGTTCATAAGCCTGATAATTGTGTAGTGTTCGAGTAAGCGGATTAGCGGGTTATGGGTTGACGGATGTGGAACATAAACCTATATATGACTCATTAACCTACTTATTTATACGGGTTCACTGGTTGACGAGTTTGTGTGTTCGTTGGTCAGATTCCATAAATAAAATTGATAATTAAACATAAATAAATTCTTGATGCAAGCATATCCTCATTTTAGAAACTTAAGTCTTAAACATCTAAATAAAATTAAAACATTCATGGAAACATGACCAAACTAAAACATTAATATAAACATAGATAAATTCAATCGCAGACGTCGATGTCGTTCGATAATGATTCAATCGTTCATGTCGCCGTTCTTTATGAGTTCTTTCTGTCATTCATCACACGTTCATCACAGAGGGGAGGCCACTAGAAACTTAAGTCTTAAACATCCAAATGAAATTAAAATATTCATGAAAACATGTCAAAACTAAAACATTAATATAAACATAGATAAATTCAATCGCAAGCGTCGACGTCGTTCGATAATGATTCAATCGTTCATGTCGCCGTTCTTCATGAGTTCTTTCTGTCGTTCATCGCAAAGGAGAGGCCAAGAAAGGGCTTATTCGATTTTGTTTGTAAGATACTGAGATTATTTAGGGAAAACGTCAAATATATTGCAATGCAAATCAATAAATGGTTACCCACCGGGTTAAATGGTCAATAGTATCGAGTATCATATTCTAGTATAACGTATAAACTATTAGAGTGTACTTAATACATTTAAAAAATATATAATTTCTTTTATTAAAATTCTAAACGGGTTAGTGGATCAACTCGTATACTTTTTGAGAAACTCATATATGACCAGTTTAATAAATAGATTGACGGGTTGGAAGGTTGCCGGGTTGACAAGTTAAAAACTCAACCCAAACTCATTTATTTTGTGTCGTGTTTTGGATCGTGTCGAGAATTATAAGGCCTATATGTTCACATAAATATTCAATAGAGTAAATTATACGAATGGTCTATGTGGTTTAGAGTAATTAGTATGATTGATCCCTAACTTATTTTTTTAAGTCAGAATGTTTGTTTTTGTTATTTGTTTGGTCCCTGCATATCCTAAAATAACTATTATACTAATTTCTTTTTAATTAAATTTATTATTTATGTATTTGCTTTTTAATTTATTATTACAAATTTATGATAATCTACAAAACTATGTTCCCCTTTCTCCCTTTTGACTCTTTCATGGAAACTAGCCCGGAGGAAACTACTACTATCCTTGCAATTATCTCATATACCACCCGAGCAAAGAACCACGAGTATGGAAAATAAAAACCATATTGATCCATTCAAACCAAATATTAAATATAAAATAAACCGAAAATCAAATCTAATAAACCAAAACTAGAATCAATTCGTTCTAACCATACGTTAATAGAATAAAAAAAACATACATTTGGTTTGTATGAATTTCTTAGAGGAAAAAATAGGGATGTCAACGAGGGCAACAGGGCGAGGAGTGCATCTCCCGCCCCCGCCACCGAAATTAAATAGGAATGTTCAATGTTCCTACCCCGCCCGCGCCCCCGAATCCCCTTTATTACCTCCACCCCCGCCCCCGTTCCCCCGCTCCCGATTGATTTTGGGTTACTTCTTTTGAGCTAAAAGAAGTTGTTATTTAGGTTAAAATAAATTTTTTTAGGTAACAAATAATTATTTATAGCAGAATTTTATATCTTAAAAATAAAAAAGTTATGGTATTTTAAAATTTATACTAACAACTTAGAAATATGTTTTTTTTGATGAATTTTGGAAAATATGTTTTTTTGATGAATTTTGGAAGTTCAAAATCATGTTATTGTTTATTATATTTATAGAATTAATATATGTGTAATTTATTAACGGGGTCCCCATGGGGATTTCGGGACGGGATTGTCTACCCCCGCCCCCAAAATTAAAACGGAGGTTAACCTTGCCCCCGCCGCCGTCCCCGCCCCCGATTTTTTTAAAAAAAATCCTCCAAACGGAACGGGACTCCCACGGGAACGGGATCCCACGGGACTTTTTGACATCCCTAGGAAAAAAGACAAATAAATAAATTGTCAAATATCACTTTTTTCGTATTTTGAATTAATTTTTATACATGTAACTTTATGGATTATTTTATTTTATTAAATTTCACATATGTTTTAATATAATAATTATAATAAAATATATATTTTAATATAATAATTAAAATAAATGTACTAATAAATAGATATTAATATTAATTTCATTAATGTATTTACTTTTTAATTTCAAAATTTTCAAATTAAAACTTATTGACTTTATTTATTTACTTATTTATTTACTTATTTAAATTATTTATTTAAATTTAAAATATATATAAAAAAGAAATTCTCGTTTTAATAATTCATTATTTTTTTTATTTTCTTATAAATTTAAAATTTTAAAATATTTAGACTTTTTCTTTTAAATTAAATTTTGTATATATGGATATTACTAGTAACAACTAGTAATGTATTAAAAAAGAGAGTAACAACTAGTAATGTATTAAAAAAGAGAGATAGAAGGCCTTTCTTTTTTCCTTTTTCTTATTTTTTTTTAATTTAAAAATGATAAATAAATAATAGAAAATTATATATATATATATATATATATATATATATATATATATATATATATTATATATATATATATATATATATATATATATATAAAGACATAACAGTCCTTTCATATTAGAAAGAAAGAGATCAACTGTGTAAGAAAAAAACAAACACTTGGGACCTAAACAAAGAAAGAAAGAGATCACACTTGTAAGAAAAAACAAACATTTGGGACCTAAACAATAAGTTAGGGACCAAAAATAAATTAACCTGGACCATTAATATTTGGGACCATTCGTGTAATTTACTCTATATTCAATAACTAAATATCAAGTCGCTTATTTTCTACCGGAAAGCGTAACATTAATATTTATTTATATATATGTAAACCACGCAAAATATTCATCTCCCCAAATATAAATGACAATCGTGCAATATCCAATGAAATAAATGTAATAAACGAACCCTACTTTTGAACAATATTATTGCTTCAAATAAAACCATGATACTTGTTAATCAATGATTCTAAGCACATGTTGATTTAATACCATAACAATACATGTTTATGGATTGACATTATCAAAGACATATGATCAAATCGACTAGACGCCTTTCAAAAATAGAACAAATGACATATAGAACAAATCCAAGAACAGGTTAATATTTTTTAGCCATATTCTCAATTGATAATTGTAAGTCCGAGTCTACCTACTGCGCACTTAACAAAATGTATGTGAAAGAAACATAAAACTTTCAGAAATCAAGAAATTACATGGGTTTCATTTGCGAGGACTAGTGTCCTCCGGTGGTGTGGCGGTGTTGCCACTTCCACCACGTGGATGCGTATTGGAAGCATCGGCAACTCCGGCTGTGACTTTAGCAACATCCAGTGCGGTGGCTTCAGGTTTTTTCTTGGCATAGAGAACGGAGTAGCCGATTCCGGCAGCCATAAGGAAACCGACGATGGTCATGGTGGTGGTGCTGAAGGGCAAATTACGGCGCTGGTGTAGAACGCCACCTGGGTTGTGGCCAGGTGGTCTCTTGGATGACTCCACCCCTACTTTCTTCACTTCCTCCGGACTCATTTTGTGGGTATCCGCCATTTTTCTCCAATCTTCTGCTTCTCCTCCTCCTCCTCCCATCTCTGATCTCTCTCCCGATCTTTTCTGTCGCTGGAAAACATATAAGAGAAGCTTAAAGTGTCGCATGGTGCTGCCATATGTTGTCTGGGTGGCTTAGAGATTGATCGTTGTTCGACGCGTGCACTGTCATAAGCTACGTGTCGTCCTTTAAAGTAAGTTGGCTCATGTTCTCCAATGACTACTAAGAAATTATAGAAATTAATATTATAGATTGCGATGACCGGTGACTAATTATTAACGACCGGTGTGGTTTTATTTATTGGAAAATTTCCAGAAAAGTCCTAAAATTTTAATCCAATTTATGAAAAAGTCCCAAACTAATTTTTGTTTACAGAAAAGCACAGAATACCGGCTAAAACTTCGAAAAAACCCTTTTTGGCCGGTTTCGTAAATTTAGCCGGTATTCTGTCCTTTTTCGTTAGTTTGCTCAAAATATTAGGACTTTTCTGAAAATTACCCAATAACCAAAATATTGGGATTTTTTTGAAAATTACTATGGAATTAATGGATATTATTATTAACAAATCATTTATAAACATAAAATTTTTTTTTTTATTATAAACAAAGGAAATACATTTGTTGTTAATTTCTAAAAATAGAATGGTTGACTATGTACTTCTCAATTGTTTGTTGACCACTTCAAAGTCTTTATGTTCTTCATATGTATCGTTGTGGGTGTCATAGTGAGAAGTAATCTATTAGGCGTGACCAATACAAGAGTTGATAATATTTATTAATACACAATCAATAAGTTTCTACTTGCTATTAAGCATGATGCTATATGATCATGTGTTATTAGAAAATATCATTACACGAACATATAGATCTTTCATTATATTCTTTAACCTAACTACCACCTAACCTCCAAACATTACCCGGTAACAACCATAAAATTACACATATCTATCGAGAGTGAAAAGTAAACTTTGAATGACAATTTAAATAGATAATCACCCTTCACTTGTTTCCATATAAATTATCATTCAGGGTTCACTTTTCACATTTTATAGATGTGTGTTAGCCGATGATTGTTAACATGTAAGGTATGAATGTTGGTTGGTAGTTAGGTTAAACAACATAAGAAGAACACCAACATTAGAGGAATGCTAACTAACTTCATCTCACCATCATACCCACAACAATGCATAGGAAGAACATAGAGAGTTTGAGTGGTCAGGAAACAATAGAGGAGTACTTAGGCCACCAATATTTTGGTTATTATGTAATTTATAAAAGATTTGTTAATAATAATATCCATTAATTTCATGGTAATTTTCAAAAAAGTCACAATATTTTGGTTATTATGTAATTTTTCCAAAAGTCCCAAAATTTTGAGCAAACTAACGAAAAAGGACAAAATACCGGCAAAATCTGCGAAACCGGCCGAAAAGGGTTTTTTCGAAGTTTTAACCGGTATTCTGTGCTTTTCTGTAAATAAAATTTATTTTGGGACTTTTTCATAAATTGGACTAAAATTTTGGGACTTTTCTGAAGATTTCCCTTATTTATTTTATATTTTTATTGAAAAAATTAAAATATAGATATGTGAAATTACTCTTATAGTTTACATAATTGAGTCCCAAATTCTCTCATATATATACTATTACACTTTCACCTTGGGTGTCGAAAACACACCCCTAAATTGTGACTTACCTTACTTCTTCTTTTGTGATCAATAGGCCTTGAAGCATCCACTCGAGCAAAAAAAAAAAAAAAAAAAAAAACTATAGCCCTCAATCCATCTAATCTCAAACCTTCCCTCTAAGATTGGTTGCATCATTACATAACTAACATTTCAAATCATCTTTAGTCGGCTAATTTTATCCAATTTATCTATAACAATCCAAATCCTAACCATTTTTGTTAATCATAATTAGTGTAAATCAAGAATGTTAAAATTGGGATTTTACTTTTTGTATTTTGCAAAATCATGACCATGAGATCGGGATCAAAGATCCTACTAAAATGAACTCAAATTCAAATTTGCACATAAAGTCTTGCATGTGCAATATACATTATAGCTTGATGTTAATTAAGACGTCAATATTGAAATCAATTTTAACTTTTTGAACATGAACCATAATTTTTGTTACTACAAACCATAAAAATTAAACATCTTAATTAAAAAAGGAAACAAATATCATTATGGTCATGTACATCTAAAGACTTACTATCACAAAGGGAATATCATAAGTATAATCTGTCTATTTTAAGATGTCCTATGAAACTTCTTCGCAACTTACAATGCTCAATTTCAAATTGAATGTATGGATTTTTAAAGCTCTACTGTATAATAAACTAAAGAGGTAGGATTTAATTGTGTTAATATTTTAAGTTCCTAGTTTGGATCTTAAGATTCCACCATGGTTGTCAAGATCGTGATTCTAATCGTAAGATCGTACTATCCTAAGTATGAAAAACGAGTCGGATCGTAAAAAAATCGTATTTGGATAGGATCGTAGGATCGGGATCCAATCCCACCTTTCCTTGAATTATTATTATTATTATTATTTTTTTTTGCAAATGAAATTTTTGTCACCATTTTATGCCTTCTACCCTTTACTATTTTACTGTTTATAATTTTGTGTTGTGATTTATAACTAATATTTTGAAGTTTTTATAATTTTTGAACAAAAAATTGAACGTTTGAAATAATTTTTATGTTTTATTTTATAGGATCTTAAGATCTCGATCCCAATCTTACAAACTCAATCCTACGTAAGATCCCAATCTTGACAACCTAGGATTCCACTATAGCTTTTGCTTTAAATAGATTCTAGTGAGATCAGAATCGTTTTTTGAATGTAGGCATCTTAAAATCATAAGATCTTATGATTAAGATCGGGATCTTAACAACCATAGTGTAAATATGTCTTTTAACTTTAGTACTTGCATAAAATTGATAATTATTATACTAGTTATCATTTTTCTACATATAACTAACATGCAATCACTTTTACCACCTAACCCCATCCCCATTTCCAAACCCTAACCGCAATCTCATGGAAAACAAGGGAAATATACCAACATGGATTAGTAGTATTATTCAAAATGGCATGAATACATACATTATTTTGATAATCTTCCACTTAAAGAAACAAATATAAATCACTTGGTCAATCAAATAAAAGTCATATATAACCAATAATTACAACTACAAATATTGAGAAATAATTCTCTTATTCACCAACATACCAAACACAAACACAAACACACTGAGATCAACATACCAAAATATCTGTCAATCTTCTTTTACAAAGCTACTCAGGACGAAAGGTTACCAAATTTGGAAGGTCAAACTCCTGGAGTTGTTTTATATCATTTGCAGTCACGTTGGTGGACTCTAAGCTCAGAGATTTCAACTTCTTCAATGGCTTTAGATGCTGCAATCCTTCAACTGTTACTTGAGAACTTGATAAGTTTAAAGACACCAATTTTGTCAGACCTACAACAATTACACATTTACCCACCTCCATCTTAAACTATTTTATAAATCCCTTTTCATCTAATTTTTAAGGAGATATAATAAATAACAAAAATAATAATAATAATAATAATAATACCAGTAATGGATTTTAAGGAAGCATTTGTGAGTTGTTTATTTTGTGACAGGTTCAAAAGCACCAGAGATCGAAGATCCATTATATTCCTCACACCAGCATCTGTTATTCCTCCACCACAGATTTCCAAAGACTGAAGTTTTGTAAAATCTAGATGAAAAAACAGGGGTATAACCGTCATTCAACGTCACAGACTGTTTTTTATTTTTTACTAAATATTAAAAATTCATAGATATTGTCATACTGCGCAGAGAATTTGTTCCTGCATCTGTTATTCTAGCACAAAAGAGATCCAGATGAGTCAATCCGGTCAAACCTGCATCCATGCAAAAAATAAGAATTTACCTTTTTTCCAATTTTAGGGATATAAAAGTTTTTTATTTTTATTTTTGTTACTTGTGAGAGTTGAAAGTCCAGCATCTGTGATGTGGCGAACATCTAAGTTAAGTGATCTAAGAGTTGATAATCCGGATAGATTTGGTAAACCTCCATCCGTGATAACAGTGAATGAAAGATTTAAAATTTGGAGATTCATCAACCCTGTAACAAATTTTATAAAAGATGAATTAATTAATCCTTAAAAATCAAATTATTAAGTTTATAGAAAAATGTATAACCTGAAAGATGGAAAAGACCATTGCTTCCAACTTCTGTATCAGACAACTCCAAACATTTCAAACCATGAAGGCCTGTTATTTTTTACAAATATATGCATCAGCATCTGATAGACATTAGATAATTAGCCAAAAAAAAAACTTTAATAATATACGCAATGCATAACCCTTTCGAAGGTTTTTCCTTTTACAAAATATATATATATATATATATATATATATATATATATATATATATATATATATATATATATATATATATATATATCTCAAAAATAAATATTAGAATGCCACAAACAAACAGGTTTAATAGATAACTATGTCAGAGGTATTTTGCTTTACGTATAAAAGATAATAAATTATCATGCATGTAGTTATAAAAAATAAAAGACAATAAAAATACTATCCGATCACTATGCTTTTGAATACTTGATATTGGTGCCATTTAGATCATCTTACAAGGTATTTCTTTTCTATAAAAATATTCATTTTTATTTTTTATATTAAATCAGAGAGATAAGCAGTCAGAAGATTATAAGCATTTAAGATTTGAATATGATTCAGGGGTAAAATAAAGGAAAACCTTAGAAATATTATTCAAAATAGTAAAAACCTTATTCTACAATACGTAGTGGGACGATTTTTTTTTAATGGTAAAAAGCTTTATAAAAGGCTTAAAGAATAGTAAAAAGTCTTCATTGGGGATGCTATGTGCCACAAAATCTTGAATTATATCATGACAAGTATTCACATTATTCATGTTTGTTTGAATTCTGAACAAGAAGATATATGAATTATGATGGCATGTAAAAAATAATGTAGAAGC